TGCCCTGAATTGCTGGTTTATGTGCAGGTTAATCTACTTTAATAGTCAATATTGGCTCACCTAAAAATGACTTAAAAGTAGAGGTACATAACCAAGACAAACAGCAGTGGCAGTGGGCCCTGGGCACTCACTATGTTTTCTTCCTCTGAGTGTTCAGGACCACAGGAACTGATTTTCTCAGGATGTGAACCCATGATTTGGCCTGTAACTGTTGGTATCCAGCATCTCTGGAGAAAAAAAATGCTGAGGTTTTAAGAGGGTAGTTGCAGTGGGTTTTACTGATGAAGGGGATATGGTTCTTCTCTGGAGTACAGTAACTTTCCTGTTCTCCGTAGGATAGATGTTCTCAAGATCAAATTGTGTCTTTAATTAAAATATATTAATTCCTGAGGGATAGGACCACATGACTGCTTTCATGATCTTGTAATACCTTGTAGTCACTGAAAGATCTGTTTAATCTGACTTTGCTTTATGTATTTTACAAATGTAGTCTCTTACAGGGCTGAGAATCATTAGCCAAGCCTTTTAATTTGTTTCTTGGAGGGTATGTTTGAGGTCCCTGAGTTGGTGCTCTCCTCATTTTCTGAAGTCACGTTCACTCACACCATCCTTATGAGATTTGGCTTCCCTTGGTTATCTAATGAGTATCTTGGAAGTTTTGTTGTCATTCCATTCAGTACGAAGCTGTACAGTCAGTGGGCCTTTTCCTCTTTCCTTTATTTGTAAGTTTGTGTCTGAACATGATTTTCAGGGAGGATGGAGTACGAGGGAGCTTTCAGCTGTTCTGTGCTGCATCTCGTCTGCCAGGGCTGAGGACAAGCCCAAAGCAGGTGACAATTGCAGACAGCACCATTTTGTATTGAACTGTCAGCATGAATCCAAGCAAAAGTGTCTGTGCATTGTTGAATTAAGTCTTGAAACTGTATTTTGAGATAAAATCCATCTAAGCTTTGCATGTACCGAAGAAACTGGACGGGCTGCCCTGGCAGTATAACGAGACTCTTGCAGTTCAGTGATACACAAAAGCAAGGAAGACATGTTGTGGAGCAAATTTCCAGATAATTTTGGCTGTATTCAATGCTGTTTTTTCTTGAAATTTACATAAAAATAAACTGCATCATCCTTTTTAAGGATACAGGTCAGGATGCTGGCGAGTTTGGTAACCAGCCTTAATGAAAATTAATTATTGGAGCTGTGTGTGCACATTTGCCAACAGATTGGCACCTTATCCCTTTACTCCTTCCTGCAACCCAGAGAATTTTTTAATTACTATTACATTTATTTTTAAATCAGCATTGCTGAAGGGCCAGAAGAGGCTGGAAGTATTAACACATGTAGCATTTAGAAAAAGCAACTGTATATAGCATGAATGCTTGCCTTTATTTTTTATTTTTTTTTTGTAGGTAGAAAAGTATCCTAGCTAGGAATATTCATTGCAGTATTTTGTTGTATTTGCTTCTAGTACTCAGATAGTCTTTTTGTTAGAATTTTACTACATTCTTAAAGAGGGTAACAACAGAGATGCTTTCCTGGCTTCTCAAACGTTGGTTGGCCAAGGTTGGCCTTGTGGTGAGCCCTTGCTGTCGTGAATTCCTGAGTGCAGGTGTCTCACCCCTGTTAACCGACCCCCTGTACCTTCCATCCCTCAGCCAGTTATTTCTCTCCTACGGTTTCCTTTCTGAGGTGGCTTCTGTTTTTCCTGCCAAATTTCCTGTTTCCCTGAGATGCTCTATAACACCCAAACTTGTCCTTGCAGGTCCAATTTAAAATTTTGCTTTCCATTCCAGCCTAAAGATATAAATAAAGCTCAAGGGTGCAGCAGTGGTGTGATGGTGAGCCTGAGGTGTGAGCTGCAGAAATGCCCAAGTCATCAAAGCCTCTGCATGGAGTCTTTGCTCCCTATTTTATTTTCATTTTTTGCTTTCAGTGAATATTTAGTGAGCTCTGATTACATAATTGAATTTGATAAACTGATGGTATGTGATTGATGAGAAAGTCAGGAATAAAAGATTAGAAGATAAAATTACTTCAAGGGTTTAAGTAAATCTTCCAGAGAGCCGGAGTAATTTATAAAGCATGCTATACTCTTTATAAAAATAGTCCCCTAGGTCTATTAAATTTTAGCTTCTAACAGAACTGGATTGAGTTTGGAGAGTCATTTTCATGTAACACCAGCTTGATTGTGATGCTTTAAATAGGAGATGGCTCTGAGTGGGCTGCAGTATCACTGGGTTTGGAATATTTGAGTAGGAAATGTAGGGCTCTGTGACAGACCTGTGGGCAGCAGTCTTTGTCTTCCAAATAAATCAGTTTTTTTCTTGGAAAGCCCTAAGTTAGAAGGAGTAAGTGGATAATTCAGAGTGAAGTAATGAAGGAGGTTATGCTGCTGAGTCTGTAAATCACTGAAAACCAGGATCAACAAATGACTCGGGCAGGGGTTTATAGAGCAGACACCAGTTTCACTGTAATCTCCTTCAGTGAGTCAACTTTCTTCAGGGAGGAGTAGTTTAGGAAGCTCATTCCATGAGCAGGTAAATGTTGTTCTCAGGGGACTTGGCACTAATGATTTCCATGTACCAGTTGGTCTCTGTTACAAACCCTTCCCCTGAACACCAGCACTGCTCCCAGCTGCTGCCTTTCCATCTCCAGAGGAAGCCTGACACCTTTAATCTTTTAAGGGCAGAATGTCTGTCTTGGAACTCTCTTGTGAGACTCCCCAAAATATCTGTGAAGCCTTTGACAAGGCTTAACATTTTCTCACTTGTTTAGAAATAGCTTTACAGAAATTTGCTCTTCGCTCTGGGTAAAATAACTGCATTTCACATGAACATCTTCTGGCTCCAGCTTAAATTTTAATTTATAATGTTTAAGATATTGGTTGATTTTACTGGTTAGGAGAAAATGAGAGTTGAGATAAGATGACTCCACAATAATTGCAGTCATTAAAACAAGAAGCTTTGCACAATATATTCTCAGTCATGTAATAGAGTGAAGAAGTGTAAAAACTATCCTTGGCTTGCCTGGGAATATCTGTGAGTTTGGAACTGTTCCGATTTTCTCATATGTTGAATTTTTGTATCTTCCTGTATGGCCAATTTAAAGAAGATATTGCTGATCTGCACTCGTCATATATCAGTTTGTTTGAAAAACGGGTTCTTTAAAGTGCTACAAATCAGAAAAGGCCCTTCCCTCAAAATGCAGTTTTTAATTCAGTTTGCAAGAACAGATTTTGTGTGATAGTTTCTAAGTATTGCTTTAGGATTATATGTGCACTTTTTTTTTTTTTCCTGCATAAATGGCTGTGTTTCTTAAGTTCTAAAAACTTCGGATGCAGTTTGTCAATACAAATCACCAGACGTGTGGGGAGCTGCTGTTTGATTTATGGCCAATTGCAGGAGATATTTTGGCGACAGTCAGCCTGGGGCTCCCTGACCACGCTCAGCTGGAGTTCAGCTGCTGCCCTGGGACATTCTCTGTGCTTCCATGTGCTCTGTGAAGTAATAAAAATTCCCTGATAAGAGGCCAAGTGAAAGATAAGGGCTTAGAGAAGTTGACATCACCAGGCTGGGCTGCAAACCCAGAACACCAGAGCCCCTGGAAAACCACCAACAGCCCTTGCCCTGAGCTCTTCTTGCCCAGTCCGTGTGCTTGGTGCCCTGGGGCCATCAGCTGTTAAAGATTACAGGGGGTGACCTGTGGAGTCAAGAATTTCAGCCAGCCTTGAATAGTACATGAGGTCACTTCTCTATAAACTGTAAAAAAAAAAAAATAAAATCTTGAAGTCTTTAAATAGCAAGTATAAAAATGCCTGAGCTTATCTAAAATAAATTTTAAATGAAAGGTTAGCAGTTTAACTGAACCATTACTTGCACTGGGACAACATTTGTATATCTTGGGGTTTTTTGGTATTTTATGTATAAAGTACACACCCCGCACTCTTAAAAGCAGATTTCAGTATCATCTGGCTATTAAATATTATTCGTATTTTGGATTAAATCTCTGACTTTGAATATAACTTGTGAGTTTTATATATAGACATAAACTCCCTGGAATGGTTTAAGGCAGGTTGGATGGAGCTCTGAGCAACCTGGGCTAGTGGAAGGTGTCCCTGTCCGTGGCAGGGGGTGGAACTGGATGATCTTTAAAATCCCTTCCAACCCTGGCCATTCTATTATTCAATGTTAATTTTGCTTTAGAAGGTATTTGTACACTTCTAAGATTAAGCCTTTAGTTACAAGTAGAAGTTTGACACATGAAGTGTGAAAAACTTCATCTTCCAGAGGTGATTGGGGTGGATCTCCAGCAGGTGTGGACTCAGAATAAATCTGTGTTTGAGTAGGGATTTGGCAATTTACCCATCAAGGATTTTGCTGCTTTGGAGTATTTTGAGTATCTGTGATACACAAGAGTTTGAGACTACATGTGACCCTTGCATATTATTGAAGAACCCTAATTCAAAATCTGTTAGTGGCTTCAGGTAATATAATTTAACACATTTTAGTTGGCAAGAATGTTGGAAAATACATTAAACTTGTGATTTTGTGAGGTGTTTTTTTCCTAACTTCTTTTCCCTATCAAAATTCTTTATTTACCCTGAGACTTCTCCTGCTGTGATAATCATTTCTATCCAAGATTACTCTTCTGGTTTCTATTCAAGAAATGAAAAAAAAAAAAAGCTTCTAGTGGATTTAATCCTCACAGATGGGGGGGGGAAGCCAATAGGGCTGATCACTGCCTGCCACAGCAGACAATGCTGGAATTCTCATAGGGGTAAACAGTAAACATGGACAAAAGCTTGTCTGAGTGGACAAGGACTAAGGTTATAAAGATCTTGGGGATTCTGCCTCTGAAATAAAGCTTAGTTATGATGAAGCCTGAACGGAATTGTGTCGTTTCTTGTTTCACGATGTCCATTTTGAAAAGAAATGAGCTAAATATCAGTGGTGTATCCCCTGTTTTCTTCAGTAGCCTCCAAAGCCATTTTTCCCTTTGTGTTTCAGATGATGTTGCACCCTACTTCAAGACAGAACCGGGCCTGCCCCAGATACACCTGGAAGGGAACCGACTGGTCCTGACGTGCCTTGCCGAAGGCAGCTGGCCCTTGGAATTCAAGTGGTTACACAACGACAGCGAAATCACCTCCTACTCCAGTGAATATAAGTAAATAATCTATATAATCACCTTCTCTAAGTGTAATTGCCAAAAAAGACCAACCACCCAAAACAAATGCCACTCCCCAATTCCTCAGTACCCTGAGGAGCTTTGTAGAGACAGACACGTGGCCACTGGTTTTTTTATCATGAAAGAAGACTGGGTTTAGTAAACAGGTGAGATCTCTGAGAGAATCTCCTTTGCTAAGAGTGTTTAACGCTTCAAAACATAGGCCTTAACACAGAATTTTTGAGTACCAAAAATACTTTTTGCTGGAGATGCAACCTTACCTGTATTTGTATAAATAGGAGACATAATTCGTCAGCTAAATGTTCCACGTGATGTGACTCCTCCTGGAAGGGAGCTGAGCTCAGTGGGACTGTTCTTTGCAATCAGATCCAGAAGAATGTGGTCTGCATTAAATTCCACACAAACCTCTCTGTTTCACTGCTAAGAATGCCAAAATTAAGCTGATAGTTTAACAGACTGTTCTTTAATGATTATGCACTTTGCCCCCGGGACCTCCCCGACTCCCTCCCCATCCCACAGACTTCCCATCAAACAGGAGAAAAACCATGAAGTGGCTTATCAGAGCTACATTTGTGCTGATAGGTAGCACATGACTGGCCAAGTATCAAAGTGTCAAACAGCCAATTTTGTCTGCTTTTCTTTAATGTGGGAGTATTGACTGGGTCTTCTCTGTGTGGTTGGCAATTTTTGTAACTTTAGAGAATTTAACATTTATGCAGCTTACTTGCTGCTCTCATATTTTGTAGAAATTTCCTGGTGAATTCAGAAGTTATGAGGGATGGATTTGTGCCAAACAGAGCCCTTGTATAACACCTGCACCTTTAGCAAACCAAGCTAAATACTGCATTTTTGGTATTACATGAGTTTAGGCAGAGAAAACTTGTGCTTCATCACTACAGATAGAAATTGCAGTAAAATTCAGTATAAAAATGCAGGTTATGATATGAAGTTATATATTGGTCCACCAGGTAGTCCATAATTACTTACCTTAAATATTTCCAAAATTGTAAGCTAATATTAGATCTATTTTTGATTTTATTTACATTTACCGAGCAAAGAGGAAAAAAGTCCCTTAAATGACTTTTTTAAACTTTTGGGGGTGATTTAGAACATTTAGCATAAAGTATTTACCAAATGCTTCCAACCACACTTTTATGTGAAGTTTCCTGGAAGTGCAAGACTTTTGATTTAGATGAGCCCACCTAGTCCTGTTTTCAAGCCTTGAGATGCCCTGCTACCTCAAAAATGAGCCACATGCACATATAGGGGAGATTTGTGAACACTTTCTAGAAAATAATCTCTAATAGCACAACAAATCACAGAATGTTTGAGCATCACTTTGTGTAAGCGCCACTTGTTTGGATCAACAACAGCAGAGTCAGTTGTAGTTGCTCAGCAGAAGGAGCTGAAAACAGCTTTTAATGCAGAAGGTGCTGAGAAAAGTGGGATAAAAAATGGTGTGGGAGGACAAACAACATGAACATGGAATCAACAACAAGCAAAGGTTAGAACTCAAGCCTTGTAGATGTGCTCGTCACTGGGAGACTGACATTTCATGATATTAGGAGAAACCTGAATAAGAACGTGTGACATTTTGAAATAAGATCAGAATGCCATGGTATTTCTTAACCAAGTGGACACCCTAATACAAAATGAGAATTTTACTGTGTATTGCAGTGTGAGTTAGGATCTTGGAACACCTTTGCCAAGCTCTGTTTACACACACCTGCAATCAGTCCTTTGTTTCTCATCATTGCATTTAATTTAGTCTAGTGAATGTCAGGTCATGATTCAAGGTATATTTAATAATTCTACATTTTTTATATTGTTCTTAGTTCTATTTCTAATTAAAACATTTGATGCAGAGGTGATTTAGAAGATGGGCAACTACTGGTTTATAATAATAAAACATTGATAGAAAATACTAATTTAGAAGTTGAAGCCCTGCTGCTATTACTACACCACAGTCAGACATAAACCAAACAGGACTTTGATTATATAGAAATGGAAAGCTTTAAGCTTCGAAAAAAAGATTATATGGCATAGGTGCATAAGGATGAATGAAAGCAGGGAAAAGATATGCTTAGACATAAAAATTCCAGTTGCAGAATTTAAACTTTGACCCCATAATAGTTTACTCTGCAGTTCTCATGGGTAAATAGTCTGTTTAAATGCACGAATCTTCCTGAGTAAGTGACTTCTGCTGCAATTTGAATCATCGATCAAAGAGTTTTGGTAATTGATATTACTTAGTGAGCCTCGGTTAAAGTAATGTCTATATTGTAACAGGCTGAAAATATATTATTATAACACCCCAAGTGAGTAAAGAACTAATTGGAGTCTTTGCATTTTGACCTTGGTGACCCCGAATGAACAGCTTTTCTTTGTCTAACGAAGCTGATTATGTGCAAAGCCTGGCTCTTACAGTGACTGTGCATACACTGGACTGGATTAAGAATTTATAAAACAACCTTATAAATTCTTTGTGATCTGAGATACACATAATGGAAACAAATCAGTGCTGCTGACTGCAGTGGCAATTCTGCTTATGTCTAGAAGTTAAGAGGCTTTAAAGTTCAAGCAGTGACCTTTTTCTTTTTTGGTTCCTCCCCCACCTTGTTTTCTTTTGAATTGAGTTTGGGACCAGGTGTGTCCTCCATATTTGCTTTCGTGGCCTGAAATTTATATGAATTTAAGAAACTAAGATTAGGTCTCAGCAGCCATATAATATTTCAAGTTACTTTAAATAATCTGATTATTCTATTTGTGTTTTTAACATCGGACACATTTTAATTTTATTCTGCATAAAAAAAGTGAGATCACTTGATACGTAAGTCCCTTGTTAGAAAGTTTGAATAGATAATAAGTTACATGACTATCCAATAAAATACATTTGCTTTTAATTCTGTGTTCATAATTATGGCTATTAAATCCTGTAGCCTATAGGTTCGCTTTTAACTCTCGGAGCATTTGAAATTCAAATGAGGGTTTCAATTTTAAATTAGGGAGGAAATATAAGTGTTAGTGCATTTCTCCTTGGGTGTCTGATAGCCCTCCATCCTTAAACTGACTCCTGGCAGTGTGGTGATGGAGCATGTTCCGCTCTGCAAGGCTTCCCTCGGAGCTCCCTTTCCGCTTGTCGCTTTACATCTTTCCACAGAAACTTTCCAAGCACCAGTTTCTGGTTGGCTGTTCCACTCAAAATGAAGAAACTGTCGACTCTGACTTTCTAAAGTCCTTGCAGAGATCCCCAGAAACCTTAAGTAGCCTCCTGGCATCTATACAATGGGAAGATCTTCTTGCAAGTTGAGAGCGTAGACAAAAATAAAGCAAAATTATGTCTTGTCACTGGAGGAAATTGTATTAACTTTTGATATAAATTCATTGTGGGGAAGAAAGTCTTGTTTTGAATTTAGAAAGCACTATTTATATCCCTTCTTGAAGATGAGAAAATAAGCAGAAAGGGGAAAGCATAGCACAAAAAAGCATTATTAAGACTGTTGGGTCAATAAAAAAAGTATATTTTAAAAAATAAGACACGTGAGGTGCATAAAGACTGTTTAAAATTGTAAACACAGAATCAGAAATTCCATTAATATTTATCTCTTGCCCAGGTTTGTAATTTTGAAGTTAGTCTCAAATAGTATAACCATATGTCCCATCTCTTTTTTTTTTCACTTTTATTATTAAGTTCTTCTAATTTTGCTTCCCTTACCTGCACATCATACCCAGTAGGTCCGCTGAGAATCCAGCTGCTCAGTAGGTTGGGGCTCCCTTGGAATTTCCAAGGTAGATGACATTTTCACTGTAAATTTTTAAAAGATTTTCATTTCTTCAGGCAACATGTTAAGAATGTTTCCTGCTGAAACATTAATAAGTCAGAAAAGAAAACCAAAGTAGGACACTTCTGATCTAATTGATTTGTTTTGTCCTGGTGGCAGCAAAACTAACTCTGAATTACTATTTTAGTACAGCTGAATACCCAAAAAAGAAGCCTTTAATTTTGGCTTTATTTAATAGAAAAGCCAATGCACTAAATGTTGGCCAAGTAGGATGCTAAACCTTTATGAGAGGAAAAAAACCTGCTAAGCTGTAAACTGTCTGGTAAAATGAATTGTACAAATTAATTTTCAGTATTTACTTGCCAGAATATTAAATTTATTTTTTTAATAATTATGTTTTACAACAATCAGCTCCCTGGCAGAGAAGGAAATGATTCCGATTGCTGTGTTTGCTGTCACTTTGCTGCCGGGGTCTCCCAGGAATCCCTAAAATTTGTCCATGGTGTTGGACTCTCTTTTAATTCCCCATATTTGGTTGTATGACCTGTTTCCTATAGTGTATTTATTGCACCATGCAGTGATTAGAGCCTGCATTTATCACACCAGATTCTTCTACCTCCTTTGTTTTTCTGGTGTCTGATCCTGCTCAGATATTAAGCTCTGTGTGTGGGTGTGTGCAGTGTATCTAAGAAGAGATGTTTTCTCTTAGTGGATTTAAATTTTGAAGATTAAAATTCAGCAGTTTTCTTTTTCCTTATCTTTCATAAAGACTTTCATTAATCCTACCATAATATCTCCTGAAGGTGACTGGGGGAATATGTGCTTTTGATTAATGTTTGTTTAATGCAGGATTATCTCTATTATTCATGTGTTTTAGTCCCATTAAAACTGTGCCTATCAGCTCATTTTCATGTTGAGTAATCAGATGTAGCTGAAGGAGGAAGGTGAGCATTAGTGGACTAAGTGTCTGTTTAAGCACAGTGAAGGGCAGAACAAACACAACATACAGCACATGGCGTCATTTCCAGAATTCCTCTGAATTACAGTGGAATAATCACATTTTTTTCATTGGACAGCTTCGATGTTCCTTGCAAGTCTTCCTAATACCCACATTTAGTTTGCAGTCTTCTTGTCCCTCCTCTGAACAAATTATCAGGCTGCTTTCACCAGCCTGAGGAATGAAGGTGGAGAAAACTAAGGAAAAAATTTAAGTCTATATTTCAAAAGAATTGTTGGATATACTTGGTATTTATCACATCCAGAACTTCAGACTGAAAGATATTTCATGCATTTTGTTCTGGGTTTTTTTTGTTGTGTTTTTTTGTATGACAGACAGTATTGTACTCAAAGACCAGAGATGATACGAGAATGCTGCTTGCCAGAAAAAAATACAATAAGCATTTAAGGCAACGTGTAAAACAGGCAGAAGTGCACTATAATTCTGCATTTTGTCTTGCAGGTACATCATCCCAGCTCTGCAGAGGTCTGATGCTGGATTTTATCAGTGCATTGTACGGAACAGGATGGGGGCCCTGCTGCAGAGGAGATCTGAAGTCCAAGTGGCATGTACGTTGGAATGGGAGTTCTTCTGTGGCTGATTCTTTCTGTGGGGAGAGAAACAACATACCAGTAACACTTGTTAGCCTGAAAAGTCATTAGATATCATAATTAACAAGTTTTTAAATTATTGCATCACAAGAAGTTTCATACTCTAGGGTGTCTCTGGGAAGCAGCTCAAAGTGGTGCAACATGAAATCTTTAGAACAAACTTTGAGGGGTTCAGAGCCATCAAAAGAGAGCGTTTGGAGGCAGCTGTACATGAGAAAACTATTTTACCTTTCCCTGAATACACAGGGATTAAGCAAGGCCATACAGCACAAAACTATCAATCAAAACACCACCACCAAAAAGGCCCAGAGGACAGCAGCAGATACCTGAGAGAGAACGATGTGGTGGAGATAACGCCAGGCAGCTTTCAGATCGTAATCCCTGTGATACAAAATCAGCAGTTTCACAACAATGCTTTAAAATCTGTTCTCAACACCTTCCTGAAGCAAACCCTCCAGTGTTTGCACCACTTCAGTTTCGACTGTGCAGAATTTTTGCGATCCAGCTGCCATTAGGAAAGGTTTAGTTGGTTTTCTCAGGAGTTAGTGCCAGGGAACATGACATAAGAAATGATCACATACTCTTAATTTTCTGTTTTTCAGTTAACGTGTAGGAAATATAATCCAAATAACGTCTTTGGAATTAGCAATAAAATTAGGCCTTATTTTTTTTTTTCGTAGTAAAAGCATAAAAAAAATTCAAAATAGATAGATTTGCATACTGTGCCTAAGAAGTGGTAAATGGATCAGATTTCTTCTCCTCAGGGTCAGTAACTGGAAATTCAGTTGCAGTAAATGTCACTTGATAAGTGGAATTTAGAGAAATTGAATTATTTATTAGAAACCCAATTTGAAGGAACTGATTCAAGTTAATCAGTATGTCAATGAGGGAAATTACATGGAATTTCCTGTGTTTTAAAATAAAACCAGCTGCAAATGGCATTATGTAAGTTTTGGTATCATATTCATCAGTTTACTGAATTACAGTAGATGATGTTACTATATCTGTAATGTCAGTAATACCAGTAATTTGATGTTTGATCTCCCTATTGTTTCAGAGCTGCTGGGAGCTAAAGTAAAAATAAACTGCTGCTAAACTGGGGGTTTCCTTCCCTGACTTCTACCAACCCTTATGCCCCTGCTGTGCAGTGACCTTATGCTCACCCTGATGTCTGTCAGACCCTTGCAAGTACTTTTCCAAATATTCTTCTTCAGTTTTAGTGAATTCTGTCAGGTCACAGAGGATCTACAGAAAGCTGGTGTGAGTGAACATAACTCTGAGCAAGGTCTGGGGTGACGAGCAGGGTTAGCAGGGGAAGGTGAGGGTGAGATGCTCCTCATTGTGCAGCACTGAGCCATTAGAGGAGCCTGGATGCCTCTGGAGTTGCATCTCCAGGTGTGTTTTCAGGGGACAAAGGCTTTGGCAGCAGCACCAGAGAAAAATGTACCCATTTCCTCCTCCGTCCCACTGATCGTTCCCGCTCTTGCACTGCAGTGTAGCACACGATCCCTTTGGGCCCAGCAGGAAAACTTGTTTGTGCAGCTGTGGACTGGGCAACTTCTCCAAAATTTGGAAAAAAAAGGAACAATTATTTTGTCAGGTTGTTAAAGCAGTTCTTTCCCCCCTCCTCCCCGTCCTGTTCCCTACCCAGCTGCACAAGCAGTTGTACTGACAGAGCAGAGGGAGCAATTCCCAAGGAAGTACTTGTGGGAACAGTGAGAAGGAGACAACAGGAATACTTTACCTTGATGCTGCTGCTGAAGAATCCTGTCTCCTGAAAAGACAGTTTTATTCCCCTCTGAATGAGGGTAAGATTTGCAGTGAAGTGTTTTGTTTCTCCAGGCTGGTCTGTGTGTGTGGTTGGTTGTTCTGAAGAGAGAAAGAAATGCAATTGTTTGCTTTTCTTCAGTTTAAGTTCCCCCCCCCCCCATTTAATTTGTAGCTCTGCATTGCTGAACAAAGCTAAAAAGCTCTCTCTTAAGACTCTCTGTCAGAATTTATTTATTTATTTATTTTTATTGATAAAAACACTGAGACAAAGCAAACCAGATCTTATATGGCTTGGAAGACTTCTGGTCTTGAGCCTATAGTGACAAATATGGCTTCTATAGTGAAATTGCCACTCAGATTTGCTTTTTATTCCTGCAGATGAAAGTGTCCCACAAGTTTTAAATATCCTCTTCCTCCTTCACCCAGGGTAGCTACTGATACCATGTGATTGTTTTCTCTGTCTTAACATTCTTGATCTAAATTGAATGAAGCTGTGTGGATGTAATGAAGTTCCTGGTATTTTGTCATACATTACTTTTTGGTTATTCTTGAAAACATATCAGAAAGCAACATTCCAAGGGACTCCTAAAATCGTCTTGTGCATTCATCAAGACTTACAGGGAGTTTTATTTTAGACATTTTACTCCTAAGGATTCACTGGAAATGATATATTTTTGCCAGTGGATAGAGGATGCTTCCCAATACACTTCAGCTCAAGATCTCAAGTGAAAAATTGAAAGGTATAATTATAATGTGCACTGAGAAAGATCTGAGGTATTTTCCATGTCCCAGATATCTGAAGTAGCAGGGAACTTGTTCAATAATTTAAAAAATATTCTCAACACATGCTAACATATTGCTTAGCTGAATGGGAACAGATATTTGAGAGAAAACTGCTGAGTAAATCTTAATTACAGAATGGGCTTTAAAACTCTTGGATTGTGAAAACTGAAATAATCATATGACAGTGAAGTTAATTAGATCCACCTACGCGGTTTGAAACTTCTTTTCAAGTAGCTGATCTGATTACAGTTGTGAGGAATATGGAGCAACAGAGGAAGTACAATGCTGATTATCTCTGAATAAATAACTTGAAAATCACAAAGATGATTAAAGCTTCTTTAAAATACCATGTGTTTTTAATTTCTGCTCTTGTTCTGTCTCTTCTCATCTCCTGCCATTCACAGACCTGACAGCAAGTCTTCTCTTTCCTAAGTCCTTTACATCCCTCTCTGCTGCACAGGACTTGGAGAGAACCCTGTGGTCCTTAAAAAAAAAAAAAAAAAAAAAAGAAGGGAATTCACTGACAGAAGCCAGAATAGTTCTCTGTGTGTGTGTGTGTGTGTGTCAGTTCCTTAGTTTAAATCAAATTAAAATGCATAGAAGTTCTTTGGAGGGTAAAGAAGTAAGAGCCTACAGCCCTGTTTATTTTAATGGCTAAGAATGAGATACAAGAGGCAAAAGAAAAACAAGAAGAAAACATTCTCTGAATTTTTTGGGGGACTCCCCAGATATGTGAGCTTACCTGTGAAATAAAGCCTTCAGAGGCAGAGGTTCAGCAGTGGTAGATTGCTTTCTTCCATTAAAATTTTTGTTAAAAGCTGCTCTCTGAGACCAGGGATGCTTTTGTAAATGCTGGAGATCCACAGGCAACTACTGAAATCATAGTGTAGTGCCAGAACTGACAGCTCCCAACATGACTGTGGCCTTGTTATTTTGGAATCCATCTGGATGTAGTGGCTCACTTGCATAGCTCTGACTATCCATTGCCTTGACTACAATGATAGAGCTGCTTGTCTGTTTGTGTAGCAGTGGTTTAAAAAAAAAAAGGATGACCAAAAAATTGATAAATTCATATACACCACGAGCATTCCTTTGCATTGCAAAAAAAACCCCCAACAATCCAAACCAAACAAACCTCCATTAAAATGTCACTTCCAGTTAAAACCACTCAGTTATTGCCACAGAGCACTGGGGCCATTCAGGACTTCTGATGGATGCTCCAGCAGCACTTGGGTTTCCTTCATGCCTTATGTTCATCTGACTCTGTATAGATCGACATCAGAACTGTCCCATGATCTCTTGTGTCCTGTTGACTAATTACAGCAGTGCCAGTGGCTGCTGGAAACACGGTTGTTACTCTGTCCTCCGAAAAGAAATGAGGGGAGAGACAAGAACTTCCAGGACTCTGAGCATCATTTTTTAATTTGCAGACATGGGGAATTTCATGGACACGGACCAGAGGAAAACAGTGACTGAAGGACAAGCTGCAGTTCTGAACTTCCCACGCATCCTGAGCTATCCAAGACCCCAAGTGACGTGGTTTAGAGACGGGCACAAGATTATCCCAAGCAGCAGAATGTAAGTCGATTTAAAGCTCAAAATGCACCCACCCTAAAATATGATTAATTGTATTTGATAACACAGCTTACATTCTAAGTACACTAATTAAGGTTTAAAGAGAATAAAGTAACCTCGTTCATACTGAGTTGGAGATAAATTACTATTTTAAGACTATCTCTGAACTTCTGAAGCAGTTTGACAAAATAATTCATGTGGTTTTAATGGTCCTGGTGCAGCATAAGGGGCTGGATATGCAGAATGTCTGCGCTCCCTTCACGCTATTCATTTTCAGGATACGTTTTGGAAAAGGAAATGCTCATCTCTCAATTACGTTTACTTGAGTGGACTAACTTAATGAATACTGAGATTTTTGGGTTTTAATCTATGAATCCATGGGGGTTTTTTTACAGATTTATGCTTAGTTCTGTTTTCCTCACTATAAAATTCTAAATATTGTTTATTTTTTGGGGTTTTTTTAGCCTACGATGACAATTGTAGTTCTTCTTGACTAATTAGCAGCTCACCCACTAATGACATAGTACTTGCACTTTGATTAGACATTATCTCAAGGTGTGCTCATTTATCCTTTCCTGAAACAGTTATGAAGCCATCTCGTGTTTTCACCTGCACAGAGACTGAAGAGGTTGACTGTAACATTAAAAAATGTAGATTAAATCTTGTCTCGTTTATTGGAAAACTGTTGAAATACCAGGAATGTTGCTGGTTATTTCTGTATTATATTTTCACGTGTTCAAAGGGCTAGATGTGCTAGCAGATGATGGTAATGGGATATTGCTGTGTTCCAGGAGTGCTGAGTCTTTAGAGTTTATATTAAAAAGGGAAAAGTATTCTTGGATTTGAATTTTGTTAATCTGCACAGTGTATTCTGCTGTTGCTTATGTGCATTTTTTAAACCTGAAAGCTGGTATTACAGGCACTTTGAAACTGTGAAAATTAGTATTGCAGGGATGTGAAGAAACTGTGTAATAATTTATGAATAATTTAATAGTAATTTGATGGGAAACAGCTGGAAGATGAAACAATGGGTTCCTGGGCAATCTCTCGAAGAGAGCTAAGTGACAAATCCTGAGTTATTAACCATTAAGAATCTACTTCCTCCACTTGTGCCACATCACAAATTTTCTTTTGTCAATGCTGAGAATACCCAAATCAACTCACAGATGGTGACAAAGCCTTGTTATCCCGGTATCCGAGAGTTTCTTGGGAACCCTTGCAGGGGAACAGAGCAGAGTGACCAAGGCAGGCACGTGGTGTCTGAAAATGAGTTTTGCATGAGTTTTCTTACAGTTTGGGGAAATTGCAAGTAGGGAAATGTACGTCCTGTATTTGTTGATATAAATATCCTGTTTTTCATCTGCTGTGCTTTACTCTTATTCCTGCCCTGTTGGGATTGTTGGGGTAGAATCACTTGAAACTCGTGGAGTGTGGAAATACTCACAAATGGGAGAACTCTAACACTGCTCTGTAGCAGGGCTTCCATATAAATTTTATTTCCCTGGTCAGAAATTTTGTCTAGAAGGAACTTGAAGACATTTGTCTGGCCTGTGTAGGAATTCCTGAGTACTTTTGCAGTGGAAGTGCATGTGCTGAAAGTGTGAGCCTCGTTGGAAGTTTGATGTATGTCAGATAGTAAACCTGCTAAGTTCAGGAGGTGACAGATTTATGGTACACATACCAATCATCAGAGCACTCTGTGTGCAGTAGGTCTCAAAGTATTGGAAAAAACAGAGAGCATCCACTCACATCTTGCTGTCTGTGAAATTCAGGAAGTAAATATGGCAGCCCTATAAATATGGAAAACCTGAGACACGGAGAGGATGCATAAAAACCTGAGAAATGTACAGATGTCTTATGGAAAGTGTTTCTTATCTGTGGAGCAAGCTGTGCATTTAACTTGTTCTTTGCACACAAAGGGATGTATCAATTTAACTGATCAGTTTAGCCAGTGATCCAGTTAGGCTGATGCATCCATCTGACTGGATCTCCTGCTAAACTCATCAGTGACATTGATACAACCACCTTGCATGATGCTCTTTAATCTGATTAAAAGTACCTTATATTGCTAAATCAATATAAGGCTTTTTTAATGCTCTTAAACAAGCTTACAATGATTTGGCTCAATCAATCAGCCATAATATTGTGTGTCAGCTGTAACAGTGATTTCTGAGTGACATCACTGTCAGCGTTCGTGGACTGAGGACATAAAAATGGGGACAGGAGTGGTGGGTTTGGTACAGTTAATTCAAATAGTTGGTAAAGTTAACTCTTACTCATGCAAACACCTTAATGTGCACATTCTTAACCCTGCACCATTTTTATGCCATAAAAATGATGCTGATGCTCGTGTACAGAGAGCTGCTGTCACCACTGGTGTGGGAACAGAGCATGTGCTGAATTGTCCTTATGTGAGAGAGATGAAAGATCAAAAGTAACACACACGTAACAGTTCTGAGAAAAAATAAATTCTGAAGACGTTTCAAGGAATGTCATTTAATTGGCTCTGCAGAAGGGTTTCCCTACCACTTTTAAGGCAGTAAATGCTGATGTCGTTCTCCTTCACTACATGCAGGTATTTAGGAGACTTATGGGGGGGATTCTGCCAGATGGTCAGCATTCCAGAAGTGGTGTGTTTCTAGGGAGCCAAGATAACAGAACTGCTGAATTGTCAAAAACTATGGTATCACTATGTGCATTTTTTTAAATGTTCTTTACAATATGTCAAATAAGGCTTTTATTTTTCTTTGTGTTTTCTTGTAATTATTATACCTGTTAACACAGTTGTTACTTCTGTCAGATCATAGAATAGTTTGGGTCGGAAGGGACTTTTTAAAGTCACTTAGTCCCACCCCCTGCAGTGAGCAGGGACATCTGCAACTACACCAGGTTGCTCAGAGCCACATCCAGCCTGGCTTTGAATGTTCCCAGGGATGGGGCATCCACCACATCTGTGGGTAACCTGTGCCAGGGCCTTACCACACTCAGTCATGAAAAATTTCTTCCTTACATCTACCCTCTTTTAGTTTAAAACTATTTACCCCTTGTCCTGTCCATACATGCCCTTCTCAATTGGGTTGGGGGGGGAAAGCTTCAGTGGATAGCTTTGATTTCACCTTTTTTTAAGTCAAAATGGTGACTCTTACTCTGTCAGTATGCATGGCTGTGACATTTTCTGGGAGAAAATTTCCTTTGAGACATTGGCAATTTTTTTCAAACTGTATATTCTGTTGAATTTAACTGCTAGTGTTACTCATGGTGGGATTTTGCAGCAAATAACTATATAGTAGTTCTCATTTTAGTGGTGTTGGTAATATTTTGTTAAAGCCCACAGATAAAAACAAGAATGGGATGACAAGTTCCTCTGAAATGAGCAGGCACGTAAAGTCAACAAATCCCTCTATAATATATGAATGTGAAGCAAATGGCCTGCACATACTCATGAGATTGTTGTTATAGTTTATGACTTAAGGCAACTAACAAATCTGCAGCAGAGCCAGAGCGATGGGAGGGTGTGTATTTAAAAATTTAAGTCCTAAAAGTCGCTGTTGTCGTCCCACCACCACTTAGTACAGTGTGGGTGTATATTCATTTCGGCTTTTATGCATTATCTGTCACCAAAGCCTCAGCTTGATGTTGTCAAGGGCTGTTTCTAGAAGGAAGCTGCTAGAAAATGTGTACATGCTAGTACATGCTAGAAAAGTGTGGATGATCAGAGAGGAGACCAGAAGATCAAGAACAAGAGAAAGTGAGCAAGGAGTGGAATTAGGGTTTGACAAGTTTATTATTATTTTACATTCCCCAAGAAATTTAAGGAAAGACTTTGCATTACACATGGAGAGATTAATGTTTGCCAAATGCACTGTTAAACCAATGTGGAATTACAGCTGCACTGTTATCCAGGGTCTCGACTGATGGGGTGATTTCGCTGTTTCCCTGCACATCTTACCCAAACCAGCAGCCTCTCTAAAGGTGGCTGCATCAAAAGAAGCTGCTGCTCTGGGTTGTCAAGTATTCATCTTGCCTTGCCTGACTGTACTTCATCAGCCTGAAAAGCAGAGCACATTTAACTTCCTTTACACGAGCACGTTCAGTACCTTGGAGAGGCACAAAGGACAGTAGCACCGTCAAGGTCTGCAATTACCTTTCAGTCGTGGTACAGAGGAATTAAATTCTCAGTACTCTTAGAGGATTTCTTACCTTTTTCTGAGGGAAGCACTTTTCACCGAAAGGCCATCAATTCATTTATTCTGGGTTTCTTCTCTAAGAAGAAAACTTCTATGCAGACATTGTTATCATCTTCATTAGTGTCCTTACAAGGGGAAACTATTTTTTTCCCCTAATAAGCTGCAGCTAGATGAATATTAAGTCATGTCTTTTGTTAGTGGAATTGTGTCTGACACAAAACAGGAAAGTTCATTTTTTGGCATATAAAGGCACTCCTGGGGTGTCCCTTTTAGCTGGATGGGCATTTAAGTCACTTAATTAACTGTCCATGAACCAAAATACTTCACAAACGCACTTCAAAGCACTGGAAAGGGACAAGGAATTGCATTGTCTTTAGGCACACATGAGTTAATATCTGGTTTTTTGCACTAAGATCAATTCATTGTGCATTTGGATGTGTTTGGTCATTAGAGTCTCTTATAGAGACTAAAGGTGCTGACTGATTGTACAAGCAGCTGTCCAATGTGACTTGCTGTGGTTTTGAACACTCACAAAGCTGGTGCAGAGTTACTGGTCGTTTGTAAAGGTAAAATTGTAAATCTCTTAATGGCAGTCTCAAAAAAAAAAAAAAAAGTAGCTGTAGCTAAGTAGACTTTAAAAAATAAGAAAAATTAAAATATCTAAGAATAATACATCAGATTTTGGGCTGGTGCTAGCATTAGATTAGGGTTTGTTTTGATGAGAGCAGCTGACTTAATGTGCCATGTATGCATTTTTCACTTTAGAACAAACACTTTTTTTGTGAGCAGTTCTGGTGGCACAATGCATTTCTCCAC